CTAAACCAGGACTAAACCAGCACTAAACCAGGACTAAACTAGGACTAAAAGAGGACTAGACCAGAACTAAAAGAGGATTAAAAGAAGACTAGACCAGAACTAAACAAGCACTAAACCAGAACTAGGCCAGAACTAAACAAGGACCAAAAGAGGACTAGATCAGAGCTAAAATAGGACTCAACCAGGACTAGACTAGGACTAAACCAGGATTAGACAAGAACTAAACAAGGACCAAAAGAGGACTAGACCAGAACTAAACCAGCACTAAACCAGGACTAAATTAGGACTAAACCAGGACTAAAAGAAGACTAGATCAGAACTAAACAAGCACTTAACTAGGGCTAGGCCGGGACTAAACCTTGACTACACCAGGACTAAACCAGAACTAGACCAGAACTAAACAAGCACTAAACCAAGACTTGGCTAGGACTAAATCTTGACTAGACCAGGACTAAACCAGAACTAGACCAGAACTAAACAAGCACTAAACCAAGACTTGGCTAGGACTAAACCTTGACTACACCAGGACTAAAAGAGGACTAGACCAGGACTAAACCAGAACTAGCCCAGAACTAAACAAGCACTAAACCTTGACTAAACCAGGACTAAACCAGTTCTAAAAGAGGACTCGATCAGAACTAAACCAGGACTACAATGGGAAACACAGCAGCAGAACCGTCTCTTTTCTGTATTGTCTGTAGGAAAATTCAAGTTTATTTCTTTAGCACAGTCCGTACACAAAGTCATTCAAAGCGTTTTACAAAATAAGGAAGTTAAATTAAAATCCAAACACAAACAAACCACAAATTACTATTAAAACAGAAGAGTTACAGAATAAAACTCGTGTAAACTCAGTCTTTATTTTTGGCCTTTTTGTCCCACGGGAAAGGAGCAGAAACATAAATAAATAATCTTGAGAATAACACGAGCGAAACGAGTGAAAATTTCATCGCGGGGTTGCGTTCGGGACAGCGACACTGACGCTAAAAACCCCCATAACGAGGTAAATGAAGATGATTATGATTTACATGTAAAAAGCGGTTGATCCCGGTGGAGGTTTGGCTCGTCGTAAAAAACCAAAACGAAGCCTTTTTCGATTATCGTTCATTGACACACAGTGGTGAAATTGCGTAACGTGAAAATGTGTTTTAGTTTGATTTCGTGCCCCAGCTGCAGCCTCGAGTTTGAAAGTCAGATTTAACTAATTCAGAGTTATGTAAGCCTGCGCCCGACCATAAATAAACATGAAACTCCAGTGTGGGTCAAAGTAAAAGCTGCAAGAACAAGAAGAACAAGAAGAAGAAGAAGAAGAATATGTTTAACTATGATAAGTAAAATGGGAGGGTTAGACCAGGACTAGACCAGGACTAAAACAGGACTAGACCGGGACTAGACAAGGACGAGAGCAGGACTAAACAAGGACTAAAACAGGATTAAACCAGGGCTAGACTACAATTAAATCAGGACTCGATTAAAACCTAACTAGGAATAAACCAGATTAAAACCAGGACTAAATCAGGACTAAAACAGGACTAAACCAGGACTAGACCAGGACTAAAACAGGACTAAACCAGGACTAAACTAGGACTAGACTAGGACTAAACCAGGACTAGACCAGGACTAAACCAGGACTAAAACAGGACTAAAACAGGACTAGACTAGGACTAAACCAGGACTAGACCAGGACTAAAACAGGACTAGACCAGGACTAAACTAGGACTAGACTAGGACTAAACCAGGACTAGACCAGGACTAAAACAGGACTAAACCAGGACTAGACCAGGACTAAAACAGGACTAAACCAGGACTAAAACAGGACTAAACTAGGACTAGACTAGGACTAAACCAGGACTAGACCAGGACTAAACTGGGACTAAACCAGGACTAAACCAGCAGTAGACCAGGAATAAACCAGGACTAGACTAGAATCAAACCAGGATTTAACCAGGACTAGATTAAGACCTAACTAGGACTAGACCAGGATTAAACCAGAAAACAAATTCAAAATAATAACTTTATTAATACAATGAAACATAACAGAATAATTTTTACATTTTACATTTGTAAACATTTTTATGACCCAGTGAAACGCTCAAAAAAAAAAAAAAAAAAAATCCACATTAATGTCAAAAAAGTAAATTACCAGAGAGAAAATAGACTGGAAATCTTTTATCAGTTATGTATTTGACCCACTACTGCTCAAACTTTATGGCACACAACAAATTCAAAATAATAACTTCATACTGATACATAACAGAATCGTTTTTACATTTTACATTTTTAAACATTTTTATGACCCAGTAAAGCATTATAGAGAAAAAATAAACTGAAAATTTTTTTAATCAGTTACGTATTTGACCCACTACAGCTCAAACTTTACGATACATAACAAATAAAATAATAAACAACTAAAATAACAGAACAATTCAGGCCCGTCGACAGAAATTTTGGGGGCCCGGGGCAGGAAGCGTCACATGGGCCCCCCTCTAAAAAAAAAATTAATAGAAAGTTGATCAAATTTTGGGCCCAACAACAGACCTTTTTTTTTTTTTGCTGCTCTGCAACAATTACAAAATAATAATTGTATTAATAAAACAAATCAGAATTAATCACACATACAGGTAAATTGTCAAAAAATAAATAAATAAAAGTGCTTCCTTTCGTTTCTTGCTTCCTGTTTGTTGCCAGGTGAGTTTGGCACTGAGGTCGGAGTTCAGCATGACTGCCCGATTCTCTCCCTGATCTCTTAACAGTAAATTTTGATGGGATTTTGTTGGACGCAAAAAACTGATTAACTGTTTGTGTATGTTCCCCCGATGTGAGTGAGTGTTTGGTGCCTAGTTTCACCTCGGGTCCCGTGTCCGTGCGTGAAACTATGCAGAGAATTAAAAAAAAAAAAAAAAAAAACAACGGTGGTTTCGCTTTAGTTTAAGGACCACATATCGATTGTTAACGAAGCGTACTTGTTATTCTAGTTTGCGTTTCCTCAGTTTTTGTTTATTTTTAATGGTTATAGTTTATGTACACATTAATAGTACTGATGAGTGTTAAAGCGAGGGAAATTTTAATTGTAAATTCGAAGAAAATGCATTCATAAATTCTGTGTTTTATTGTATTTCTCGTGGAGGGATCGTCTTCGTGGAGGTGTTGTTGCTTTTGTCGGGAATGTTTCGCAGTATGGCATTAAAGCGGATCAAGTTACAGGTCAGGTCTGTGGAGAGGCGACCCCCGCTCTCACAGTCAGAATGTGAGAATAAATTTAAGGTAGAGATGTTTAATGTCACAGTGTGGAATATTTCAGGCAGAAAAATGACATATAGGACCAAACCAGGACTAGACCAGATCAAAACCAGGACTAAAAGAGGACTTAACCAAGGCTAGGCTAGAATTAAACCTGGACAAAACCAGGACTAAACCAGGACTAGACCAGGACCAGACTAGGACAAAACCAGGCCTAGACCAGATCTAAACCAGGAATAGACCAGGACTAAACTAGGACTAAACCAGAACTAGGCCAGATCAAAACCAGGACTAAAACAGGACTTAACCAGGACTAGACCAGATCAAAACCAGGACTAGACCAGATCAAAACCAGGACTAAATCAGGACCAAACCAGGACTAGACTAGGACAAAACCAGGAATAGACCAGGACTAAACTAGGACTAAACCAGAACTAGGCCAGATCAAAACCAGGACTAAAACAGGACTTAACCAGGACTAGACCAGATCAAAACCAGGACTAGACCAGAACAAAACCAGGACTAAACCAGGACTAGACCTGACCTAAAACAGGACTGAACCAGGACTAGACTAGAATTAAACCATGACTAAACCAAAACTTATCCAGGACTAGACTAGGTCTAAACCTGGACTATACCCAGGACTAGACCAGACTTTAAAAAGGACTTAACCAGGATTAGAACAAATCAAAACCAGGACTAAACAAAGACTAATCCCAGACTCGACCAGAAATAGACCAGATCAGAACTAGAACTAAACCAGGACTAGACCAGACCTAAAACAGGACTTAACCAGGACTAGACTAGAATTAAACCATGACTAAACCAGGACCAGATTAGGACTAAACCCAGGACTAGACCAGACCCTCATACTGTGGAACATTTCAGGCAGAGAAATTACAAATCCATAGAAACAAACAGGTGACTTAACCAAAAAGTTACATGGTGCAATTTTTAAAGCTGCACGTTGTAACTTTTCACGAAGAGGTTTCGCCAACTTCTAACCTCCTAGAATATGTTTTATCAGAAATGTTCCACAATATGGCATTAAACATATCTTGCAATTACTCTTACTCTAAATAAAACAAAACAAAACAAAAAAAAACACGGATTCTTTCTGCATATTCACAGATCCGACTTGTACCTTGACATGGTGGTGCTACCTGCTTGTCACCATGGAAATAGAAATGTTTAATGCCATACTGTGGAACATCCCAGGCAAAGCTCAACATCTCCATGGAGACAAGTTACAGAGAGCACTTTTAAGAGTTGAATCTGGAAGAATACTCACTGTGTAATTTCTGGGGTGGATGGTCCGTCTGACGCTTCTCTCCGTGGAGATGTTGCCTGGAATGTTCCACAATATAGCTTTACACTTATTTATCTCTATGGAGACAGCAGGTGAAGCCACAGGGTCAAAGTTACAGGTCAAATGACGGAGCCTCCACCAGAAAAGTTATGCAATGCAGCTTTAAATGCTTGCAAAATATCATCATTAAGAAAAAAAAACAAGTGTTAATAAGTGTAAATGGTAACAAAAACATCATGTAATTACGTTTTGTTTTTTTTTTTTTTTTACTATAGTTTCCAATTGATACGTGGTCCCTAAACTAAAGTGTCACCAGATTATGGTTTAAAAAAAAAAAAGAAAAAAAAAAACGTATACTGTGGCTCATGATGTAACTGTATGTGTGTGTGTGGATGTTCCCCCCTTTTGCGTCCGTGTTTTTGCTGCTAAAAACACCAAACCCCACCAAAAGGGACTGCAGAATTCTGAAGAGAACGCCAGGATCTCCATCACCTTCTTCAGACTTTTCCGCGTGATGAGGCTGGTCAAGCTGCTGTCTCGCGGGGAGGGGATACGGACCCTGCTGTGGACTTTCATCAAATCCTTTCAAGTGAGGGGAGAGCCGGACACTACATGCTACTACGTGCGACAGGGCAGACGAGCTGGTCTTCTTTCCTCACTTATTCCCTAAATGTCCACTTGTTATTCTAACATTTTGCTTATTAGTTATTCATGGGTTGTAGAATGATGAAAAATTTGAGATTAACTGTCTAAATAAATCTAAATATTATAACTTTTGAATGGGAAAAGTCCTCAAAATGTCACATAATTACAAGCTGAAACCCAAGACACATACATATATTTTAGGAGTATAACTATATGGTAAAAGGATAATTCAATTTAGTTTTGAGTTCTTTTCTTAAATTTACCCTAAAATAAGCAAGAAGCAGGACATCCAGAGGCTTTATTTTTCAGTACTTTTTACCGTGTTAATCTAAAAAGATAACTTGCTTTAACAAAAGATACCATGACATTTTGAGCTTTGTCTAGGGTGACCAGATTTTCAAAATAAAAAACTTTGAAAAGAGAAACAAGTGTGCGATTAAAGACAGTTGTTATGCACTTTGCAAGGGCAGACTAGGACCAAAAAAAAAAAAAAAAAAAACGGCCCTGGACTTTTCCCCCACCGTTCGGCCCATATTGAAACTTGAGGACCAGGGGGGTGTCCACGGTCGGACGGCCATTCTGGAATTTGCCAGAAAGAAAAGATTGCCAGTCTGCCCCTGTGCACTACTGTAAGTCTACGTTTATACGGTCTGATGACGGTCGGAACAGAAGACACAAAACTCACTTTTTATTCCGCGTTTAGACGAGCGTTTTCAGGAGGGAATCCGCGTGCATAAGGGTGGAAGTAAAAGTCTTAAGCAGGAGAAGTTTATTTATCCATCAATAATACAGGCCCGGGGGGACGTGGAAAGTCAACATAGTTTGATTTCAAAAGAGAACATAGTATAATCTTTGAGTGTTTAAGCCCCTTTGACTCTGCTTCCACAGGAGGAGTTTTATAAAACAAGTGTGGTGAGACTATGAAGGACAGTAGACACCGGTTAGAGCAATATGCCATGATTTAGATAGTAGTCTGCCAATGGTATGTCAAGGGGACATCATGGGGTAAATTTAGCTTTTGTGTCAATGTTAAACTGAGATGTACGTGGAAGATAAATTACTTAAATTCTCATACATACGGTGACACAAAAGTCTGTGGAATTCGATTGAGTAAACATGCCAGGCAGCTCAGTGGTGATGTATGTGACGTAAACGCGTACGCAACGTGAGCAGATCGGACCAGAGTTTTGCGTCTTGGGCAGTGTAGACAGAAACGCTACGGCGGAGCGTATTCAACTTTTTCACTCTGGAGGGTGGTTTCAGATTTTTGCATTTTTTAAGCTCCAAAAACGCTGTCACCGTCTAAACGAAAGGCACTTCTGATAAAATATTTTGCCGTTTTTACCCGCAAGCATTCTCGTGTAAACAAGCCTTTAGTATAGACATATTTTGGTGATTTTTAAGCATCGTTTTTCATATTTTACCTAATCAAATAACTATTTATGCTTCTCTTTACTGTTGGCAGTGATCAAATTTGTCAAAAATAGGAACACCTTGGACATTTCTTGTAGAAAACTGGGACAAACTACTGGTTTTGGATAAATCTGCTAGGAAACTCGGACTGTCCCGGGTAAATAGGAAGGTCTGGTCACCCTAGTTTTGCATAGATGTGATCCCATTTTAAGTTAAACTGAAATACTGTAAACAGGGTAGTTTTTTGGAATGTTTGATGAGCTATTTTAAAGCCCATCATCTCAAGGGACTATTCAAAATAATAATAATATTCATGCTGAACTATTATAAACTATAGGGCCTTAAACAATCTATGAAAACAATAAAATCTCCCAAGTTGAATTATCCAAATAGAAAAATCTGTAGTTTTAAAGGATTAAAGTTCGATCCAAACTAAACATTAAGTATCACATAGTGTCAACACAGTATATATTTGTTTTTTAAGTACTGGCAACTTTTATTTTAAGCCAGTCTGGGATACAAAAGGGAAGAGGTGAGGAAACGGGTGAGCTTGGTCGTCTCAGAAAGACTTTAGCAGCAGTTTGAACGTTGAGGCAGGGAGTTCCTTTATAAAAAATCAGTCCTGAACCCTTTTCTTTCTTTATTCTCTCCCTCTCAAACATCTAACCCCTCTCTCTGTTCGACTCCGTACTGACCTCTGGAGCTCTCCATCTCCTTTAGACATAAGCTCTAGATAAGTCCGAACAGCACTGCACCAAAACACGAAATCATTTGATAGAGAGTCCTAGAAATACAACGCAATCTGCTCTCTCCCTTGTGTTCGCTGTTAGAAGGGCCATTTCATACATTTAAAAAAAAGTACTAAATTACGCTTAAGTGATTTGCCAAATAAAATAAAATGGCATTCAGTTTATAAAAGTATTTTGAATGTGGAAATATAGTGGAAAATGTAAATAATGATAATAATAGTTAATATATAGAGCATGGATTTTGCGTTCTATGTTATGTTTAGAATCCATGTATCACTCGTTCATTTGTTTTTCAATATAAAAACAAAAATAAGAAAACGAAAAAAACAACTATTTTCTTCATTATTTGTTTCCAAAACCAACATTTTTTGATTTTGTGTTTAAACGATTAATGAAAAAAACGAATAACGGTTGTTTCCTGCTTACGTGACTTAAACTGCGATGCCGGACTTTTGTGCTGCAAACGGACTGAACCAGGACTGAATCGGGACTAAAACTGGATTAAACTAGGACTAAACCGGGACTGAATCAGGACTGAATCGGGACTAAACTGGGAGTAAACCAGAAATAAACCAGGACTAAACCTGGACTAAAACGGGACTAAAATGGGACTGAATTGGGATTGAATTGGGACTAAACCAGAACTAAACCAGGACTAAATGTTTTCAGTCCTGGTCTCGTCCCGGTCTCAGTCCTGTTCTCAGTCCCAGTCAGTCCCAGTGTCTGTCCTGGTCCCGGTCTGGTCCCGAACTCAGTCCCAGTGTCTGTCCTGATCTGATCCTGGTCTCAGTCCCGGTCTTGTCCCGGTCTCAGTCCCGGTCTGGTCCCGGTCTTAGTCCCGGTCCGGTCCCGATCTGGTCCCGGTCTCAGTCCCGGTCTCAATCACAGTCTGGTTCTGGTCTGGTCCTGGACTCAGTCTCGGTTCAGTCCTTGTATGTGGCGCAAAAGTTCAAGAAGTCATGTAAAAGGGAAACAGCCATGATTCGCTTTTTCCATTTTTTATTTAAACACAAAATCAAAAACTGATTTTTTTTTTTTTTTTTTCATTTTGGTTTTCGAGACAAATAATGAAGAAAATAGTTGCTTTTTTGTTTTCTTATTTTTGGTTTTATTTTGAAAAACCATTGAACGAATGACACATGGATTGTTTACGTTTGGCTTTCTGTTTCTGAGTATAAGACGTCTCTTTTACAATTTACTATACCAGCAGCTATTGTTTTTAGCCTTATTTTAACTGCCTCTCTCTCGTAGTTTCATGCAGTGGACGTGAATTAACTTTATAATTATCATACGTATTAATTTAAGTTACAAATCCTGAATTACACCTGCTGAACCATTGCTAAGGAGTTTTTTTAAAAAGCAAACCACGGGAGCTTTAATATTGTTTTTAATGCTCGATTTTTCCACCGAGAACAGAATTCGCTGATGATTTTGGCCCGTTCTTCCAGACACAAGGGGAACGTTAGCCCCGAGAGCAGTTGAATTCTAATCACGTGTACAGACACATGTGCACAGACTGGTCTCTCGGCTAATTCAGAGAGCAGAGTGGAGCTCAGGTTTACTCGTGGGTCAGATGATTTTTCTCTGTCTGTTTTTGGTGTTTGTGCCACACGGGCTGGGCCTGGTCACTATCAAGCTTAAATTTAGATGTAATTTATATCGCAAAAGTAATTAGTCAGAGTTAAAGTGACTTGGATTCTAAAGTTTTATCTTGTTTTGAGTAGTTTTGACTCATTTGATTGCATTTGTTTAGCAGTTCAATTATTTATTTATTTTTTATTACATATACTTAGGTGCACTGTGCAACTTTTCTGGTGGAGGGTTCGCCACACTTGCGTCTCTATGGGGATGTTATAACTATGCTTGCAATGTTCCACAGTATAGCATTAAACTGGCCTGTCTTGCGTTTAGTCAATTACAACAGTTATGACCCGGTTTACTTGGCCTGCTGATCAGTGGCGGAGTTGGCAATTTGGGGGCCCTAGGTGAACTTAAGTTTGGGGCCCTCACTATAATACATTATATAATGCATAATTTATTATCTATTTTTCCCCATTGTTCTTGAGACTCGCACATCTCTATTTATTTGAATTATGATGGATTGGAAACTTGTCTTATAGGTTAGGTCGCCTACTAGATAACCAGAACTGAATGTAGTTTGATTTATAATTAAATTTTTGTTACTATTCTCATTTAATGTCATATTGAGAGAAAGTCAAATTGCTCTGAGGCCTCGGCCATCAGTGGCACTAAGGGCAATTGGATGGGGGCCCCTCCAGGTTTGGGGCAGGTGCCTACTTTTGCCTAATGGTAGCGCCGCCTCTGTTGCTTATTTGCCTTCACTGAGATAAAAATGTTTAATACATACTGTGGAACATTTTAGACAATGCAATTTTTTTCCATAGCTGAAAGAACGGGGTGGACCCTCTATCAGAAAGGTTCCATAGTGTACCTTTAAAAGCTTTTTATACAATATTACTTTAGTTTATGTCCAGATTTTTATAGTACAAACTTGCATATTTTTATCAAGTTGTGTTGACTTAATAAGTAAAAAATTTTTTACCACGTTGCCAGATAAGTTTGCTAAAAATAAGAAAAATACTGAAACCAGTCCAAAACATGCATTTTAAGAAAACTCAATTTGACAGAACATCTCAAAACAAGATGAAAAATCAGAATTCAAGTCGTTTTAACATTTCGTAGCGCACATTTAAGTTCCTTGGTAATGTTTTTTGATAGTGATGGGCCTGTTGTCTGTGTGTAAAATGACAAAACCGCGTTGAACTGCTCTAACTTGTGCCTCTTCTCTTCAGGCTCTGCCCTACGTAGCTCTACTTATAGTGATGCTTTTCTTCATATATGCCGTTATTGGGATGCAGGTAAGATCACTCCCGCTCCGCTCGTACCTCCTCGTGTTGGTGTGTTTCCTCTTTTGTAGCTGGCCTCCTTCCTGTGTCTTTCCTCATTGTGAGTTGTGAATATAATTATTTTTTCCAACACTTTTTACTCTTTATGATTTAGTTTGTGACGTGTTTTCTAAAAGAGGGGGTATTATTTGGATTTTTGTGGAGATTTCTGCCATGTTATGACGTCGTTTCCTCGTCAAAAACACGCCCGAAGAGTTTTTAGATGCCGTCCGTGCACAGTGTTGGGGAGTAACAGATTACATGTAATCAGAGTACAAATTATGAGTAACTGTATTCGATTACAGTTGAAATAAATGGATTACACAGCAGGTATTTCCTGTTTTCACATTTTGGGCTAAACCAGGACTAAAACCAGGACTAAACCAGAACTAAAACCAGAACTAAAACCAGGACTAAACCAGGACTAAACCAGGTCTAAATCAGGTCTAAAACCAGGACTAAAACCAGGTCTAAAACCAGGACTAAAACCAGAACTAAAACCAGGACTAAAACCCGGACTAAACCCGGACTAAACCAGGACGAAACTAGAACTAAAACCAGAACTAAAACCAGGACTAACTCAGGACTAAACTAGGACTAAACTAGGACTAAAACCAGGACTAAACCCAGACTAAACTAGGACTAAAACCAGAACTAAAACCAGGACTAAATCAGGACTAAAGTAGGACTAAAACCAGGACTAAACCTGGACTAAACTAGGACTAAAACCAGAACTAAAACCAGGACTAAATCAGGACTAAACTAGGACTAAACTAGGACTAAAACCAGGACTAAATCAGGACTAAACTAGGACTAAAACCAGGACTAAATCAGGACTAAACTAGGACTAAAACCAGGACTAAACCAGGACTAAACTAGGACTAAAACCAGAACTAAAACCAGGACTAAATCAGGACTAAACTAGGACTAAACTAGGACTAAAACCAGGACTAAATCAGGACTAAACTAGGACTAAAACCAGGACTAAATCAGGACTAAACTAGGACTAAAACCAGGACTAAACCCAGGACTAAACTAGGACTAAAACCAGAACTAAAACCAGGACTAAATCAGGACTAAAGTAGGACTAAAACCAGGACTAAACCCGGACTAAACTAGGACTAAAACCAGAACTAAAACCAGGACTAAATCAGGACTAAACTAGGACTAAACTAGGACTAAAACCAGGACTAAAACCAGGACTAAATCAGGACTAAACTAGGACTAAACTAGGACTAAAACCAGGACTAAAACCAGGACTAAATCAGGACTAAACTAGGACTAAAACCAGGACTAAATCAGGACTAAACTAGGACTAAAACCAGAACTAAAGCCAGGACTACACTAGGACTAAAACCAGGACTAAACCTCACCTAAAGTAATTTAATGGATTACGTTACAAACTACATTTTGGGATATGTAATCTGTAATCTGTAGGGGAATACATTTTAAAAGAAACCTTCCCAACACTGTTCATGCATGTTTGAGTAATTTAGCGATCTCCCCAGGGGCCTATTCGAACCCTTCTTGCGGTTAGCAGTAATATTCTGTCTTAAATTGTAAAGAAAAAAATTGACAAACCTGATGCAACGTGCAGTGGTTTCTTTAGCTGGATGCACACTGATTGCGTGCTCTGAAGGGGGAGTGGTTCAGCATGGGGAGCAAAGGGACGGGAGCCCAGAGCGTCAAGAACGAAACTGAAAATAATTAAACTTGTTAATACGTTGTTTTCGTCGAATATCGCAAATTCAGAAGAAAAAAGGTAACATGGTCTAGTAATAATAATAATACGCCCTCTTTAAGTGTTTGTTTGGCTTGAAGCTGCTGGTTTTGAATATGACTAAATGAAATGTTTTTTTCTTAATAATCTTCACACTTTCTCGTTTTTCTCGTGACCACCTCGTGCCTCTTCACAGATGTTTGGTAAAATAGCTCTTCGGGACAACACTCAGATCAACAGGAACAATAATTTCCAGACCTTTCCTCAGGCAGTGCTGCTCCTGTTCAGGTGAGGCCCGTTGCTTTTCAGTTTAGTTTCATTTCTTTATTTTACACAAACACAGGCTCATATTAAAGAAAGGATAAAAGGAACACAAAAGGAACAGAGGTGCAGATCTGAACTCTGTCTATAACCAGTGTTGCTGTGGTTTTCTTGAGATAAACACTTGTATTTGAGTCTCGGATTTATTGGGGCTGAAAAGGAAACACTATTGTAATCTTATATTACATCTTACATTTTATCTCAAGAGTTTCAGTGCGTCAGGGTGATTGGTGCCGGTCATATCACAGATTGGTAACTCAGCTCTAGTGCGACCGTATTATACAGATGTTAATGCCTCACTCGGACTGTACGAGGAGCAAACGTGACTCCCATGTTTGAGAGATGTTCTTGTAGAGCAGGGGCGGGCAAACTTTTTAACTCGGGGGCCACAAAGGGTTCTAAAATTTGACGGAAAGGCCGGACCAGGAGCAGATGGATGGAGTGGAGAGAAAAAAAATAACATGAGATATGTAGAAAACCTGTGCTTGAATTTCACTTGTAATCTGTCTAAAACACTGAAAATTAAATTAATAAAATATAGAGCCAAAACTCAACAACGACCAATGCGAGGATGGAACAGTGACAGTGTGCCAGTATGCGAGCGTGTTCTATTTGATCTGGTGCATTGTTCATAACGAGTGCGTAAACATGCACATCAGTATCTCGGTTACGATGGGGTTTTTTGAGTCATGGTGCATGAACACGCACTATCCCGGTTACTGCAATGTAAAGATGAGTGTGAATGCATCGAAAAGACAAATACTTCTGAAATACTTTCTGGGGCGCCATCTAGTTGAGGCCACCACCATATCTTCTTCAGCTTACCTCTCAAAACTGGAATTTTTACTTACTCTCCAGTACAAGCCTAGACTCAACTAAATCTCTCCTCTTTAACACTTCTGCTCCTTTGTATATTATAACATTTTATGAGTGAAGACGTCATAATATGCAGTTCACAAGTTCCTCGGCTTTACTTTCAATCTATTCAGAACAGAAACAGTGCAGCCTTATGTCTTGAACACTTCTGCCTCACTCATGGTCCGAATACTCCGACCGAGAATGACTCCTGTCACTAGCTAGTCCGAAAGAACACTTAGCCATAAAGCATTGCGGCCAACATAATAAGCTGCACCTCAATGTATATATAGGGCGCCATCTACTGGGAAACGCTGGGAATGGAGGAAAAATAAAACATTAACAAGGTTTATTACTATAATTTATTCAAGTTCGGCGGGCCGGATTAAATGGTTTAAAGGGCCACATACGGCCCCCGGGGCGTAGTTTGCCCATCCCTGTTGTAGAGTGTAACAGTTCTTTTCTTTGCTGTTACAGGTTTTGAAAGCTGCTTCTTGTCTCCTACATAAATTACATGCCACTACAAGGCATCTCTTACTCAATTCAGTACTAGCAGCTATTGTTTTTAGCCTTATTTTAACTGCCTCTGCTCAGCTGTTGCACACAGGGGAGGCAAGTACTGAACCAGGGGTGAATTGGATTTATACATTCCATACATATTAAATTAAGTTGCAAAACATGTTACACCATAACTAATCATTACCATATTTTTCAGACTATAAGGCGAGTATAATTATAAGGCGCAATATCAATAATGTTGAATTCTCACGTCTGTTTTCATACATAAGGCACATTAAGCGAAACAAACGGAGAAATTGAGACTGATCCCTTACTCCATTCACCCGGCGTTGCCTCCCTGTCTTGGTGAATGTGTATTATGAATCTGAATATGGGTGGATAATTGTTAATTGTTTGTTTGTTTTTTTTTATTTCCTATGAGGACGACTCAAATATTCATTTAGGAATGTGTTTAATGCAGCTTTGAGCACATTTGTTTACGTTTTACAGAAACAAAACTTAAAACCACATCTCTCATTTGCATAAACTATAAGCGCCGACAAAACAGCTTGCTCCTTGTGCGCTGATGCAGTCAGCTTCTGTCGCACTTGGCAAGGCTCCTGACTACAGTATCCGCAATGTTCCGACAATCCATCAAGCGGTGCGGCTTCGTAGCTTACCAAAGTCGTACTAAACCATTTTGACTGATTTTTGAGGGTCGTGTACCACATAAAATCAGTTCGAGGTCAGTAAGCACAACCAGAATTAATAAATAAGACGTACCAGATTATGAGACACACTGTAGATTTTTGAGAAAATTATAAAGGATTTTATGTGCGCCTTATAGTCCAGAATATATGGTACATCAGAATAAAGCCCCTCCACTGTGCTCCGTGGGTGATCTGATCTCTTCTCATTACTTTAATGGCTTGAACTTCTTATGGCCTTCACACCTGAGCAGGGCATATTCATCACACTCTTCTTCTTCTCTCATCACCTGTAATCCCCCCCGTTCTTTCCCTCTGTGACACAGATGTGCGACAGGCGAGGCATGGCAGGAGATCATGCTGGCCTGTTCTCGGATGCGCCCGTGCGAAAAGGGCTCCACTCACGAGCACAACAGCACCCACCACGAGGACTGCGGGAGCCAGTTCGCCATCATCTACTTCGTCAGCTTCTACATGCTCTGTGCCTTTCTAGTGAGTCACAGACAGTAATGTTACCAAAGTCATTTCTGCATGTTTTCTTGAAGCAGGTCTGATCTCTGTACTCAGTGAAATTGCTTGGTGAGAAATGATCAGAGTAATTTAAATTTTTACCCATATTATTTCAACCAAAGATGACCTGGAAAAACTGATCTCAAAATTATAAATCAGGAAATATCTTCAGTCATATCAGATAAAGTTGTAATAAATAAATAAAACTGGCTTAATATTTTGAAAGTAGAAAGTTGAAAGTAGTAAATATATGGCCTTTTGCAATTGTTGAGAATGCTAATGATGTTTCTATTACAGATTATTAACCTGTTCGTGGCCGTCATCATGGACAACTTCGACTATCTGACTCGGGATTGGTCGATCTTGGGGCCTCATCATCTCGACGAGTTTAAGAGAATCTGGGCCGAATACGACCCAGAGGCCAAGTCAGTTTCACGCACTTTTAAAAGGAGTTGTAATACTTTGTAAGACTTTGTAGATTTAAATAGAAAGTAAACACGTTGTCGTCTGTTTTAGGGGCAGGATAAAACACCTGGATGTGGTGACGTTGCTCCGGAGAATCCAGCCTCCGCTTGGATTTGGAAAACTGTGTCCTCATCGAGTGGCCTGCAAAGTAAGTACACAAAAATACATTTCTGCCTTCATTTCATTTCATATTTGTTCTTGTTATAGCTCCTTTAATTTCTATAAACCCTGATGTAGACTTAGTTTGGTTCTGTTCTAGTCCTGGTTTAGTTCTGTTTCATGAACATTAAAAGCTTTGTAGACGTAATTAAATATTCGAAATCTTTTAAATAATAGTAATATGTAATAAATACTAGTCATTTCTTTGTGTTGACTGCACTAAGCAAAGGTTCATGCTCAGTGTAGTTCTATGTTAGCCTGATTCATCAGCCGGTTTCACTTTGTAGAAACTCGCAGCATTAGGATTCGTTGGCTCAACAGTAGGCGGATACTTTTTTTCATTTAACCAGTCGCTGCCATTTGGTTGTGACACATGTAATGCGCCACTAACGGGGCTAACTGGTTTATTAAGCTTTTCCCAAATCCCGCAGGAATTTGATGATAAAATTCATCAAACATTCTCTTTGTTCTGGCTTTAAATCCTCGATCTCTGGAATCGTTGACAACACAGAATGTCTGGCTCTTCACTGATTGCCTGGTGCCCGAACTCGCACTTCATGGGGTTTTGCGAACCGTTTACTGTATTCCGATTCCTGACCTAGTCGCTGGAGAGAAATGAAATTGAGCGGAGGCGCTAGGTGGCACCAGTCTGACTAGTTCTATGTATAACTGTAACTGTAACTATGTATAACTATAAAAGTTAGTTTGGTTAAAGATGTTTCGCAGCTCATCCAAACTCATAACAATGCTAATTAGACCTCACACCCTGCACAGGTCAATAGGCTGAACTAACTAACAGAAACTGTAAACAAGTAGGAGTGTTAGTTTCAGTCAGTTAGCTTGCAGATATAAGGAAGTGTCCACCACCATCTGACCAGGACTGAAAAAGCAGCTTGGATGAACTGCGACACGTCTTCAACCAAACTAACTTTTGTCCAGGCGACAAACAAAATTTTCTCTTCGCCGTGGATTCTACCTGGACGACTGAGGGATTCTTCATGTATGACTATGACTGTATGATGTATAACTGCAATACATCTATGAATGACCCTTGTTTTAAAAAGCGATGTATTCTAAAAGTTACAGTGTTATTACTTCACGTGCTATTACTGAAAACTGATTCTGCTCTGAAAGCTTTAGTCTGCTGGTTTTTAGTGTATGTGTACGCAGGGGCGGTTCTAGTGGTTCTACCTATAATATAATTGGTCCCTGAAGTGCCCCTCTTCTGTCAATCAACTGACAAGAAGAACAACCGGAGAATTCAATGATCACTGATGCAATTCCACCCCCAAACTCTTGGCGACCTATTGCGTCAATACAACTTAATGGGATAAAAAAACAGACCTATAAAGAGCTTTTTTTTTACTGTCTATCCTTGTATTTGCACTGTACTGAATTCATCATTTATGTGCTTGGATGTACCTTGTTCTTGGCCCCTGAATGTAACATGTAGCTCGATAATGGCCCCTGTTTCAGAAAAATCTTAGACCCACCACTGTGCGTAAGTGTATGTATTTGTTTGTATTTTCAGCGTCTGGTGTCCATGAACATGCCCCTGAACAGTGACGGGACAGTGATGTTCAATGCCACTCTGTTCGCGCTGGTCAGAACTGCTCTCAGGATAAAGACCGAAGGTAACGGAGGATCACAGAAATACAATTATACATCCACATTAAAGGTCCAGTGTTACGCAAAAAGGACTCTTGAAAGCTTTAAGCCATGTTAAAATGTTGTTTCCTCATCAAAAACAGACCTGGAGATGTGTTTTGTTTCATTCACATGTGTCTGAGTAATCCTTTTTTATTAATCTGTCTGCATCTCCAAAGCTCAAAATGCTCAGTTCCACCTTGTGATGTCATGAAGCTGACTAGTCTTGGTTTAGATCTCGAAAAAGCCAAATCTTTTCCTTGGTTCTTACTCCAAACGAATTGAAACTATAGTAAAAACAACTCAACACGTATTAATTTATATTCAAAATTCCAGTATTGTAACTTATCTGTGCTTTCATTTTTTAATTCAGATTATTTTATTTTGATTTTGTTTGTTCAGGAAACCTTGAACAGGCCAATGAGGAGCTGAGGGCCATCGTGAAGAAGATCTGGAAGAGAACCAGCATGAAACTCCTCGATCAAGTGGTGCCCCCTGCTGGAGGTATGACACAAGCAATTCTCACATTTTATTTAGGCATCCACAACAATCTATAAAAGTCAGGAAAGTTTTAATGCACCGTTAAGAATTTTAGTATTTTAAGACTGTTTACAGTTGTGGACCAAGCTCCACCAGGCAAAGAACGTGCTATGAACTTGATGCAGAGTAGCCTGTGCTGGGTGATGCAAGTGTGCCAAGACAAATTTGGCATGTACAGGGTCATTTTTAGGGTTAAGCCTCACATCCATGCAGCATTTAATTACTATTGTGAAACATGATGAGGCATTTACAGATCTTTAGAGATGTTTAAATTGTTTTTGTTATCAAAAACCCAATAAATATGGCTTTGAAAGATAAAATATTGTATTAACTTGGATTCAACCACAGGGAGCCCACACAACCCTCACATTCTCAAGGAAAATGGTCAAATAACCTCATTAATGCTTTGGAGTTTATGAAAAATAGTTGTTCAACATTACAAAATGGATAACTATGCAAATTAGAATGTAAGAAACGGATTATGCAGTGTTTTTTTATGCCAGCCTCATTTTCATAAAGTCCATTTTGTGACATGCACAGTTCTCGGCTCCAGGGTCGACTTAGGCTTGGTTCCATATCCAGAAATATTAATTCTGGGGGTGTTAGTAATGTGGCAAAATTTCATGCTTGTACCATAAAAGTGAACTATTTTGGTCCTTAACAGCTCCACTACTATAAGATTTTTTATTTAAACTATAACTTTTCCTCTTTTTTTCAGATGACGAGGTTACGGTCGGAAAGTTCTACGCTACGTTCCTCATCCAAGAATATTTCCGAAAATTCAAGAAGAGGAAAGAACAGGGGCTGGTGGCCAAGGTGCCTCCCAAAACGGCCCTTTCTCTGCAGGTAGAGTCACAGACGGATTTCAGATTATAACCACAATATTGTATAGACCCGTATAGAGTTATTATAATGGAGAAGGGGAAAAGTGAAACACCTGTAGTCAGTATTTGCTTTGATATACAGTAATTGTTTAATGGACCTTGTCATAAATATAAATTACTGAAACTGCTGGGTTGTTAATAAGCAGATTTTGCGGTGTGGTTGGATGAATAATAGAGGGATTTAGGTCATTGCTAATATAAATAATTTGTGGATTCACCGTGAGCTGTTAGATTTCAGATGAGGTCGTATTGACACAGTTCTATAGACGTGTAGTTTTATTATCAAGTGTTAAATTGATATAATCACCACTACAAATGATTCAACATTTGTGAATCTTCCGTTTGGAAAATGCTGGCTCCAACTCTTATCAGATTATATAATAACAACAATTATGAATCTTACTTGTTGACTATGCATGGTTCCTTCCTCTGCACCTGTCTCTCCTCCTGTCTCCGCACCTGTCCCTGCTACTGAGATTTTTTTTTGTTTAGTTTTGAGTAGATTTTTGAATTGGCTCCTCAAATTTACTTATATTATATTGTAGATTAAAGTCCTGCTCTATGTCTACAACATAGACTGTATATAAATGGACATAGCTAACCCACTAGTCACACGATCTAAATAGGAAGTGAGCATGTGCACACTTCTGGCTCCATCGACTTTGGCTCCAATTCACTTTGTATTGAAAAATGTGACCCCCTCTCTCTGTAACTGTTGCTGTCAGGCTCTTTATTTTGGTCTTAAAATGTTCATATTGACTCATTCTACATGATTCTGGTGTTTTTATTTTGCTATTTTGTCTAATATGGAACTTGACTCCAAATTCGCCCCATAACTGTCGGCCTCGATGAGCTTTATTTGACTGGAGCCGAACGCTGTGGTCCACTTCTTTATACACTCTGTGGCAGGGGTCTCTTACCCCATCCAGCCCCTTCCAAGTAGCTCGCCAAGGGATTTCAGAATTGTACCACTGTGCTGAATAACCAAAATGTGGTGACTTACATGCCTATTAACATTGCAGATGTATCATTTTGAAGCCTAACTTTGTGCCCAAGACTTGCCTTTTTTCTTATAATCGTCTGAGTTTCTTGTGGCCGCTAAAATGAGTAGCTCTCTGGCATTTTTTGTTTTGTAAAAGTAGCTCACCGGAGGAAAATGGTTGGAGACCCCTGCTCTATGGCCTACACTCATACCTGTGTAACTGAATAGTTTTCCAACTTTTTGAAACTAAAGTCATAACAAAATTCCAGTCTTTATGTTTATTTTGTCTGTTTTGTCTGGTGATTGTGCAAATGTGAACCCACCTTAAAGTCTTACGTCTACAATCATACCTGTTTTCCTAACTTTTTCAAACTATAGACTGATAATGTAATAATATACGGTAATAATATAATAATTTAATAACCCCTTATCGCCAACTGTCACAAATATGCGACAAACCCTTTGGATCAAGATATAAGCTGAGATAGCGGCTGCATTCCCCCAGTGCCGGTTTGTGCACATGCAGAACCTTCCTAGGAACCTCTGCCAAGCACTTAATTTTTATTTATTTTTTATTTTTTTGGCTGTAGTCAAATCAGTAATCTCATTTTTTTTGTAATATACATCTATATAAATTCAGGCATTAAGGGGATAGTTCCACATTAGTCAGATTGCTCGTTTTTGTCTCTATTTTGTCTGTTTTGTTTGGTGATCATGCAAGTGTGAACCCACTCTTAAAGTCCTATGTCTACAATCTGTTTTCCAACTTTTTGAAGCTATAGAAAAAAAAAAAAAAATTCCACATTAGTCAGTTTGCCAGTTTTTATCTTTATTTTGTCTGTTTTGTACCCGCCCAAGTCCTACGTTTCTAATTATACCTGTTTTCCCACTTTTTGAAGTTATAGACAAAATTAAATCCCATGTTTGTTTTATCTGTTTTTCTAGGCGGGCCTGCGGACGCTCCACGACATCGGGCCAGAGATTCGGAGGGCGATCTCTGGGGACCTGGCTGTGGAGGAGGAGCTGGACAAGGGGCTGAAGGAGGCTGTGTCTGCCGCCTCAGAGGATGACATCTTCAGGGTAAAGGTCTGATACACACCCCCCACTCACTCTCCCCCCAGAGAGAGACACCGCCAGAGCACCATCTACTGCCCCATTCACGCACATGCACAGGCGCTTCTGCATGGACCACAGTAAGGCTACGGGCTGAGCAGACCATGGAAAAAAAACACACGCAAGAACAGCAACGGCAAAGTTCATTTTTACACGCTTAGTCCATACGAGCTATTCTTTCTTTCAGCTGTACCATATTTTGGCTTTGCTTTATTTGGACATTTGCATCCAACATTATTATTATTATGTTATTATTTGGATTAATGATTTCCCTCGAGAGCGAGTGATTATAACTAAAATATACGGTGTGCACCAACAGATGGTAGAGTTTTTTTGTAATATCACAAAAGCAGTTGCCTCGCAGGGTTTTGGAAAAAGTACAAAAAAAACCCAACTAAATCTTGAGGTTTTTCTTTCAGTTACTATTAACTTGTTCTTGTATTTACATTTTTTGGTATAACAAAATAAATAGTATATAAGTGTAACAATTATACAATAATACAAATGATTATAGCCCATTATAGGCTCGCCTAAAGGCAAGGCAAGTTTATTTGTATAGCACAATTCGTACACAAAGTGCTTTACAGATTAAGAAAAACATTAAAATCACAATAAAAACAAATCAAAACATAAATAATCATCATAAAATTAAAGATTAAAATAAAAAAATTAAGAAGAGAGAAAGATATTAATTACATAAAGCATGTTCTGTAGCTCTGATTAACAAACGAAGGAACAGGACTTTTGTATTTGAATGTGTTACCTGCACTAAGAGGACGACCTTAGTCCTTGGGCTGTTATCGCCAAATGAAAACAGCGAGACGAGAAAACGGCGCACGGTGAATAGTTTTATAGATGCGCATTGAAGCCACACAAGTAATGCTCCAGCGTGAACGAGACAGGACGACGGCTGCACTTACCTCCGTGCAGCGCGGAGCTCTACACCGGTCCTTTCACCTGTGGTCACCTGACGGTCTACAGGGGCACATCTTAGTCCTGGGTTAGTCCTGGGTTAGTCTTGGGTTAGTCTTGGGTTAGTCCTGGGTTAGTCCTGAGTTAGTCCTGGGTTAGTCCTGAGTTAGTCCTGGGTTAGTCTGTTAGTCTTGGGTTAGTCCTGGGTTAGTCCTGAGTTAGTCCTGGGTTAGTCCTGGGTTAGTCCTGGGTTAGTCCTGAGTTAGTCCTGAGTCTGGGTTAGTCCTGAGTTAGTCTGGGTTAGTCCTGGTTAGTTAGTCCTGGGTTAGTCCTGAGTCCTGGGTTAGTCCTGGGTTAGTCTGGGTTAGTCCTGGGTTAGTCCTGGGTTAGTCCTGGGTTAGTCCTGGTTAGTCCTGAGTCCTAGTCCTGGGTTAGTCCTGGGTTAGTCTAGTCCTGGTTAGTCCTGAGTCAGTCCTGTTAGTCTTGGGTTAGTCCTGAGTTAGTCCTGGGTTAGTCCTGGGTTAGTCCTGAGTTAGTCTGGTTAGTCCTGGGTTAGTCTTGGGTTAGTCCTGAGTTAGTCCTGGGTTAGTCCTAGTCTGAGTTAGTCTGGTTAGTCTAGTCTTGAGTTAGTCCTGGGTTAGTCCTGGGTTAGTCCTGGTTAGTTAGTCCTGGTTAGTTAGTCCTGGGTTAGTCCTGAGTTAGTCTCTGAGTTTTAGTCTGGGTTAGTCTTGGGTTAGTCTCTGGGTTAGTCCTGGGTTAGTCTGGGTTAGTCTTGGGTTAGTCCTGGGTTAGTTGTTAGTCTTGGGTTAGTCCTGAGTTAGTTCTGGGTTAGTCTTGGGTTAGTCCTGAGTTAGTTCTGGGTTAGTCCTGGGTTAGTCCTGAGTTAGTTCTGAGTTAGTCTTGGGTTAGTCTTGGGTTAGTCCTGAGTTAGTTCTGGGTTAGTCCTGGGTTAGTCCTGAGTTAGTTCTGAGTTAGTCTTGGGTTAGTCTTGAGTTAGTCCTGAGTTAGTCCTGGGTTAGTCCTGGGTTAGTCCTGAGGTAGTCCTGGGTTAGTCCTGGGTTAGTCCTGAGTTAGTTCTGGGTTAGTCCTGAGTTAGTTCCTGAGTTAGTCCTGGGTTAGTCCTGGGTTAGTCCTGAGTTAGTCCTGGGTTAGTCCTGAGTTAGTTCTGGGTTAGTCCTGAGTTAGTTCTGAGTTAGTCTTGGGTTAGTCCTGAGTTAGTTCTGGGTTAGTCCTGGGTTAGTCCTGAGTTAGTTCTGAGTTAGTCTTGGGTTAGTCTTGAGGTTAGTCCTGGGTTAGTCCTGAGTAGTTAGTCCTGGGTTAGTCTTGGGTTTAGTCCTGGGTTAGTCCTGGTTAGTCCTGAGTTAGTCTCTGAGTTAGTCTTGGGTTAGTCCTGAGTTAGTCCTGGGTTAGTCCTGGGTTAGTCTTGGGTTAGTCCTGGTTAGTCCTGGTTAGTTAGTTGGGTTAGTCCTGAGTTAGTCCTGGTTAGTCTGGTTAGTCCTGGGTTAGTCCTGGGTTAGTCTAGTCCTGGGTTAGTTAGTCCTGGGTTAGTCCTGAGTTAGTTAGTCCTGGGTTAGTCCTGAGTCTGAGTTAGTCCTGGGTTAGTCCTGAGTTAGTCCTGGGTTAGTCCTGAGTTAGTTAGTTAGTCCTGGGTTAGTCCTGAGTTAGTCCTGGGTTAGTTAGTTAGTCTGAGTTAGTTCTGAGTTAGTCTGGGTTAGTCCTGAGTTAGTCTGGGTTAGTCCTGGTTAGTTCTGGGTTAGTCCTGGTTAGTCTGAGTTAGTCTTGGGTTAGTCCTGAGTTAGTTCCTGGGTTAGTCTTGGGTTAGTCCTGAGTTAGTCCTGGGTTAGTCTGGGTTAGTCTGGGTTAGTCCTGGGTTAGTCCTGAGTTAGTCCTGGGTTAGTCCTGAGTTAGTCCTGGTTAGTCCTGGTTAGTCCTGAGTTAGTCTGGTTAGTCTTGGGTTAGTCCTGGGTTAGTCTGGTTAGTCCTGGGTTAGTCTTGGGTTAGTCCTGGTTAGTCCTTGGGTTAGTCCTGGGTTAGTCCTTTAGGGTTAGTCCTGGTTAGTAGTCTGGGTTAGTCCTGAGTTAGTCCTGGGTTAGTCTTGGGTTAGTCCTGGTTAGTTCTGGGTTAGTCCTGAGTTAGTCTTAGGGTTAGTCCTGGGTTAGTCTGGGTTTAGTCTTGGGTTAGTCCTGAGTTAGTCTGGGTTAGTCTGGGTTAGTCCTGGGTTAGTCCTGAGTTAGTCCTGGGTTAGTCCTTGGGTTAGTCCTGAGTTAGTCCTGGGTTAGTCTTGGGTTAGTCCTGAGTTAGTCCTGGGTTAGTCCTGAGTTAGTCCTGGGTTAGTCCTGAGTTAGTCTAGTCTTGGGTTAGTCCTGGGTTAGTCCTGAGTTTAGTCCTGGGTTAGTCTTGGGTTAGTCCTGAGTTAGTCCTGGGTTAGTCCTGGGGAGTGCACTGTGAGTGCGTGGGCCATTTCAAACAGGTCGGAATAAAAAATAAAAAATCAGCACCCTCAAATTATGTATGAAAAATGGTTTACAAATTTGCCCTCAGGACTTCTCTTCTGTGAAAATAATCCTAGTCTAAAACAGTGCACAGTGTAAAAAGCAAAACGAAAGGTAATTCATTACGCAAACAAAACCGTGTGTTCGCAGGGCGCGGCCCCGCAGATACTATGGTCAGCCACACATTAGTTTTAATGTGCGCGGGTTCTGGTCCCAGTAGTTGAACCCATTTGCCCAGAGCCACGTAAACATGAATTAGTTCAGAGTAGAATAGTAAAATTATGCCGGGCACGTGCGTGGAGCCTCATTAAAATGCAAAATGCTATTAAAGCAGTGACCTGAACCCTCGTGCTGTGTGATTGATCGTACCGCGGTGCTGGTATATTGCAATGACCGTGACAGCTCTACGTTCGGGTTGGTCAAAAACGTCACACCAGTGCAAGTGAATACACGTCTCTCGCTCTCTGGCACTTTCTCAGTTCTGTGGCACTTGGTTTCCATTCTGTGGAAACCAGTCCGGCATCTCAGTTTAGGTCACGTAAACGGGAAACGGCCGTTATCTGCTTTATCCATTATTCATTTAAACACAAAATCCAAAACAGAAAAATCGAATCGTTATCTGTTTTTTTCATTTTGGTTTTGGAGACAAATAATGAAGAAAATTGTTGGTTTTTTTTGTTTTCTTATTTTTGGTTTTATATTGAAAAACAAATGATACACAGACTGTCTTGCCCAATCACAAAGCAGTAGTACGCAGTGTTGGGAAGGTGACTTTTAAAATGTATTCCCCTACAGATCACAGATTACATACCCTAAAATGTAGTTTGTAACGTAATCCATTAAATTACATAAAGTGAGTAACGTAATCTGAATACTTTGGATTACTTGGTTTGCTGTAGAGAAGCAAAGACGAGGAAATCTTCACATAAGATGTTTTGTCTGATAAAAGAAAATTAAAAAATTAAAAATATTATTGATAGAAGAGGAGGAGACACGGTCCACCCAGCCTCATTTAGTCCTGTTAAATCCTGTTTGAGACATAGTTTAGACCTGGTTTAGTCCTGGTTTAGTCCTAGTTTAGACCTGGTTTAGACCTGGTTTAAACCTGGTTTTAGACCTGGTTTAAACCTGGGTTTAGACCTGGTTTTAGACCTGGTTTAGTGTCCGGCAATGAGTGGAATTACTGAAAAATGAAAAAAGAAAAAAAAAAGAAAAAGGGATATAGCCCAAAATGTGAAAACGAAAATTCCTCTGTGTAATCCATTTATTTCACCGAAGTAACTGTAATCCAATTACCGCTCACTGAAATAGTAATTGTAACTGAATACAGTTACTCATAATTTGTACTCTGATTACATAACTCTGGTACATGTAATCTGTTACTCCCCAACACTAGTAGTACGTAATGGTGGCTTTGGATTTCTAGTTGATCCAATCCGTAGATTGTTTATTTAAATGGACATAGCAAACCCACGAGCCAAGTTACAAATAGGAAGTGAGCATGGACACTCATTCAGCTTTTCACTTTTTTCATTTTCTTATTTTTGGTTTTATATTGAAAAACGAGTGAACGAATGATACACAGATTCAAGACGATTATTATTTGCATCAATATTCAGATTCATAATTCTTGATTTCGTGCTTGGCTCATTCATGTATATTTTGTTGCAGCTCCGAGCGGTGAACAGAAGTGTGAATGTGCATATTTTATCTAACATGTCACCTCCCCGTCCTCCCCTCTGCCCCACAGCGCTCAGGGGGGCTGTTCGGCAACCACGTGAACTATTACAACCAGAGCGACGGGCGCGCCTCTTTCCCGCAAACCTTCACCACCCAGAGACCACTGCACATCAGCCAGAAGGGGTCGCCGTGTGAGGGGGAGAGCCCGTCACACGAAAAACTCATGGACTCCACCACCTTCACCCCCTCCTCCTACTCCTCCTCCGGGTCCAACGCCAACATCAACAACGCCAACAACACGGGCATGGTCCCAGGCACGGGCAGCCGCTTCCCCAGCCCCACCATCAGCACCGTGGACGGGCACACGGGGCAGCCCCTCACCCCCATCCTGCTCCCGCGCTCCGCCTGGTGCTTCCCGCCAAAGAGGTCAGAACTGTTCAGGTCTATTCTTAATTTATTCATTTTTTTAAACTTTACTGTACTTAATCTTCTTCATCCTTCCTCCTTGGTTCATTCTTTCTCTCTCCTAATTCAGCACAACAGTGGGCAGGGTCTTGTGGTTATGAAAGAAAAGGTCACATTTAGTTCCAAATATTAGACTTAGACAAGCTTTATTGATCCACAAGGGCACAATAGCTCACACATCATAATATAATATAATAACAAAAGAGAAAAAATATAAATGATCATAATTAATTCAAAATAAATAGCAAAAATATCAAGAAACCGGTGTTAAATAAGGCATAATTAGTATTATATATTAGTATTATCTGTTACATAAGGGTGAGTTAAACAGTTGTAGGGAGTATTATCTGTTACATAAAGGTGAGTTGTTGTACAGTTGTAGGGAGTATTATCTGTTACATAAGCGTGAGTTGCTGTACATTTGTAGGGAGTATTATCTGTTACATAAGGGTGAGTTGTTGCGCAGTTGTAGGGAGTATTATCTGTTACATAAGGTGAGTTGTACATTTGTAGGGAGTATTATCTGTTACATAAAGGTGAGTTGTTTACAGTTGTAGGGAGTATTGTCTGTTACATAAGGGTAAGTTGTTGTAAAGTTGTAGGGAGTATTATCTGTTACATAAGGATGAGTTGTTGTACAGTTGTAGGGAGTATTATCTGTTACATAAGGGCGAGTTGTACAGTTGTAGGGAGTATTATCTGTTACATAAGGGTGAGTTGTTGTGCAGTTGTAGGGAGTATTATCTGTTACATAAGGATGAGTTGTTTTACAGTTGTAGGGAGTATTATCTGTTACATAAGGGCGAGTTGTACAGTTGTAGGGAGTATTATCTGTTATATAAATTTGAGTTGTACAGTTGTAGGGAGTATTATCGTTATAATAGTGAGTTGTACAGTTGTAGGGAGTATTATCTGTTACATAAGGGTGAGTTGTACAGTTGTAGGGAGTATTATCTGTTACATAAGTTGTACAGTTGTAGGGAGTATTATCTGTTATATAATTTGAGTTGTACAGTTGTAGGGAGTATTATCTGTTACATAAATTTGAGTTGTACAGTTGTAGGGAGTATTATCTGTTATATAAGTGAGTTGTACAGTTGTAGGGAGTATTATCTGTTACATAAATTTGAGTTGTACAGTTGTAGGGAGTTTATCTGTTATATAAATTTGAGTTGTACAGTTGTAGGGAGTATTATCTGTTACATAAGGGTGAGTTGTACAGTTGTAGGGAGTATTATCTGTTACATAAGGGTGAGTTATACAGTTGTAGGAGTATTATCTGTTACATAAAGGTGAGTTGTACAGTTGTAGGGAGTATTATCTGTTACATAAGTTGTTGTACAGTTGTAGGGAGTATTATCTGTTACATAAGGACGAGTTATACAGTTGTAGGGAGTATTATCTGTTACATAAAGGTGAGTTGTACAGTTGTAGGGAGTATTAATTGTTACATAAAGGTGAGTTGTACAGTTGTAGGGAGTATTATCTGTTATATAAATTTTGAGTTGTACAGTTGTAGGGAGTTTATCTGTTATAAGGGAGTTATACAGTTGTAGGAGTATTATCTGTTACATAAGGATGAGTTATACAGTTGTAGGGAGTATTATCTGTTACATAAAGGTGAGTTGTACAGTTGTAGGGAGTATTAATTGTTACATAAAGGTGAGTTGTACAGTTGTAGGGAGTATTATCTGTTATATAAATTTGAGTTATACAGTTGTAGGGAGTATTATCTGTTATATAAAGGTGAGTTGTACAGTTGTAGGGAGTATTATCTGTTACATAAGGGTGAGTTATACAGTTGTAGGGAGAAATATTCCACAAATACGTGTATTAAATTGCAGTTATTAGTTACATTAATAACAATTTTTTCAACCTGTAATTTAATAATAATATTTTTTCAATGGGTAAAACTTTATTCTCCGTCTGGAACTAGAAGTCTCTGTCCACTGTTACTCTCCAGAGGATTTTATTTACACTTTTGTCTCTTTTAAACTGCATTTTAAATCTCTTTTACACTAGCATCTTTACGCCTCTTTAAACCTCCGATCATTTCATTCTTTCTTTTCCCACTTGTTTCTTCTTCTTGAATGTGGCCGAGCAGGACGTGTTTTTATGACTCCCTCATGCGGTATGTGCCCAGGGACGATCGTCTGTTACAGCTTTAAACGCTAAACTCTGCACAGATCATGCCAACACCATCGCTGGTTAAGTGCCATAGCAACGCCGTAGCTATGCACCTTAACGATGTAGTCGCTGATACAACTAACAAAGCAAACAGTGATATATTTAAAAAAAAAAAAAAAAAAAAAGGAATGCATGGTGATTATAAAATGGATACGGGGATTGGGGTATCAGCTCAGATTAAGAAAAATGTACAGAATCGGCTCCAGGAAATCGGTTTGAAGGTTTCAGTTTGTAGTTTAGGTCAATAAAATCACATTATCTAAGGACATATTTTACCCTGAATATCTTAAAACATTATAATTTGTATTTATTCACTGCTGTTCCATACTCATACAGATTACAGATGACATATTTGAATCATTTTAAATCATTTATCGTTGTTTTAAACAGTGTGTAACTTTTAAACCAAAAAAATGGATTAGGTAAAAACATGTTTTGGTTGTGTTTATTGCACTGAAAAACTCTTTAGTGAGGAGAAAAAGTCTCCTCCTGCTTGTTTCTTTTTATCGATACTCTTCTATAGTGGAATATATGGAATGAAACATACCTATCTCTACGGAGAATGTTACACAGTATAGCTTTAACAACATACTGAACCTTCAAGTAAAGTTATTCCTACTTTCAGTCTTGGCACTGGTATTAGTTCATATCAAATATTGGTAGAAATACAGAATAATAAAACAGTTACTGCTCTTGGTATTGAAACTGGAAAAGCTGGATCTGTGGTTTACTAGTTAAAAACTCTCCACCAACCAAACTGTAAAAAGCAACATCTGGCTAAGTTCAAATGATTTAAATTAACATCATTTTACTTTATTTCAGGGGTGTCAAACTCAAATTCAGAGGGCCAAAATTTTAAACTGGGACTAAGTCGTGGGCCAAACTAAATATGTATTGAAAAATGGCAGCAACGAGATATGTAATGTTAAACCTTTTCTTATTAAAATAACAGTTTAATAATAGTTTTGCTTAAACATTGAATCCAGAACATGCATAATATAAAATAATAACAGCATTTTAAATAAATTATGTCTGTATAGCAGGGGTCTCAACCTGTAGCTCCTGAGTTACCTGAGTAGCTCTCCAGCCCCTAACAAGTAGCTCGCCAAGGGATTTCTGAGTTATACGTATTGAATTGAATAACTCAAATGTTGATTAATTACCATTGTAAATGTGGTATTTAAAACTTTGTGTTCTAATAAATAGATAAAGGTTTTAGGTTTTATAGGCATCTGACTGTACTACACTAAGGCTTACCCTCTTATATCGACTCAAATCCTTGCAAACGCTAAAATGAGCAGCTCTTTTGTAAAGGTAGCTCACCAGACGCAAAAGGTTGGCGATCCCTGCTCTATAGTCTATCTGTAGCCGGCGGGCAGCTCTAATACATATTTGATCTGATATCACGGGCCAAAAATAATTATATCGCGGGCCAAATTTGGCCCCCGGTCCTGAGTTTGACATGTCTGCATTTGTTTCAACTTGATAAGTAAAATGTTCTACCAATGGAATAATTGTGTTTTTCTTAATTCAAGCAACATTAGGGTTTGTTTCTTATTTTAACTACAAAGAGTTGTTGTTTTTCTTAAGTGTCGCAAGATTTATTTTCATATTTCAAGTACAAAACAATCTTGTTCCATTGGTAGATTAGTATTTGAGTCATTTTATCTTAACTAGATTTTAATTTCTGCAGTTTTTAAATTGTCGTTTATGTCTCCGTATTTAGACTGTAGATCTGCGTGACTTTATCTTTGGAGTTTCCTGTTTTAGCTCGTCTTTTGTCTGGCCCTGATCAAACACAACAGCCTGTCACGTTTTACTGCCCCAGACTCACTTTACATAATGTGATACATAAATAGACTTCACTTACGGATAATAGTCTTATTTTGGGTTTAAAGATGCATTATATAATTTTTCTGGTGGAGGGTTTGCCAACTGTTCGCCTCCATGGAGATATTTTTAACTTTGCCTGTAATGTCCCACAATATGGTGTTAAACATATCTATCTTGGATTTGTTTATTTCTTTACAAGCATTTTAGAAGAAAAATTTATGATATTTGGCGTCGTACGGATCAGCTGCTTGTCAAATTCCATACTGTGAAACTTTCCAGGCAAAGCAACGACATCTCCAAGGAAAAGAAGGTGTCAAACTCTCCACTGGAAAAGTTAGGAAAAGAGACGCCAACATTTGAGTCCGTTTATTTGAGTCCACAAGATTCGATTTCTTTTCTTACGTCTTTGTAAAATGGCCGTACTTTTAGCTGCTGCTCAGTTTCGCTTCTTCCGCTACAGTCCATCCTTTGCTTAAAATATCCGCTTCTCAGACTCTTTCCCTGTTGACGCTTTGGCTTGTGAGCTCTCCTCTTGTTCATGCGCTGAAGTTAAAGCAACACCGTGGAACTTTTATTTATACTCCCCACATTAAAATGCCTCGAAATCCAATGTGCGGAACTGATGTTTTTTGTCAGATGAAGTGGAATTTTTGTCTTAATTTGCTCAGTTTAAGACAAATTATCAAAACATCATCAATATTTCTAAACAACAACAAAAAATCTGCACCTTCTAACACAAAATTAATATTGTGAAATTCAAATCATTTTAACCAATACTTATGTGTTTCAGTCACAAGGTTCTTGTTTTTTGACGATGCCATTTTGAGGACTTTTTGACCATTTGATATTTGGAATTCTTTATCGCAATAGTTCTAATTTGAATTGAATGAAATTGTTTTGTCTTTTACTTTGACAAAACTTTATAGATTCACAAGGAGAATTATTGACACAGTAACTAAATACAATACATGCATCATGAATTTCGGACTGCCGGTTCATTGCGCAATGCATACTGGGAAGGATCCTCCGAAAAAAGAGAGCATCAAACCGCCATGTTTGATTTCCCAGTGGGATGCGTCTATTGACAAAGCCAATCTTTTCAAGTCTTTTGAACCATATCACTTTTGTTTCTAGTTCTGATATTGTTATATTTTATTTGTGGGAATTGGACATTGTAATTGTGTGGTTGTTGGATGTTCTAACAGCGGAAAATGGGCTTCGGAAGTTTGCGAACTCCATAAATGCAAAAGGGAATCAGATCTGCGTGACTGCAAACCTCTGTTCAAACTGTTTCCCTTCGTAAACGAATTGAAAAATAGTGAAAGGCGAAGGCGATGGGCAGGATTGATACACAGGAAGGACGATAAAGGTAACATTTGACTGCCTAAGAAATCATCTTGAGTTTGCAGTGAACATTTTGTATGTGGAGCACCAACAAAGCAGAATCCCGTTTGTTAAGCGAGAGGTGCAGAAGACAAACAGACTGAGCTCGCACTTTCTTGTTCGAATGACTTTACAGTAACATCAAGTCTTGGTCGCTTTGCAGTGGAAGGTGTTTCTTGGTGAACAGCTGGCGCCTTTTGCTTTGACTTTGACTTTTTAAATTCGTAACCAAGGTTAAGAGAGGGATCGGGATTTTGCTTTGTTGGCGCTCCACGTACAAAATGTTCACTGCAAACTCGGGATGATTTCTTAGGTAGTCAAATGTTACCTTTATCGTCCTTCCTGTGGATCAATCCTGCCCGTCGCCTTCACCTTTCACTTTTTTTCAATTCCGTTGGGAAGGAAAACAGTTTGAACGGAGGTTTGCAGTTACACAGAGTTCACACAGGAGTTCACAAACTTCCGAAGCCCATTTCTCAAGACGTTTTCCGCTGTTGGGACATCCAACAACCACACAATTACAATGTCCGAATCCCAAAACAAAAAAATGACAATATCAGAACCAGAAACAAAAGCGATATGGTTCAAAAGACTTAAAAAGTTTGGCTTTGTCAGTAGACGCATCCCACTGACAAATCAAACACGGCGGTTTGATGCTCACTTTTTCTGAGGATCCTTCCCAGTATGCATTGCGCGATGACCGGAAGTCCGAAATTTGGGATGCATGTGTACAGAGACAACACTAGTGAAAGGTTCCACGGCGTTGCTTTAGCCGATTCTCTCCTTGACGCTTGTTGCCGCTGGGTTGTGTTGCCGTGTCTCATCCTGTGTATATCTTTGTGTATCTGTCGTCCGTGTTTATGTTCATTTTCTCTGTGTGCGTGTGTTTGTGTGTGTGTCTGTGTGCGTGTATCTGTGTGTATCATTCGTAGTTCGGACTCTAGTGACAGCCGCCTGCCAATCATCCGCAGAGGGGAGGGGTCGATGGAGGAGACGTACGACGAGAGCTACGCCGACGACAGGGAGTACCAGGAGGACACGCACTCGCTCTCCTCTGACATGTAGGCTTGTCACGATAATCGCTCTAGTTTAGACGTTTGGGTCCATGTTTTATTTTCACTAGTGGTACATTAAAGGACAAGAACTTTTAACCGTGTTATAGTGGTTAAAAGCTCATTATTAACTCAAAGTTGTGTTTTTGAGTGATTCATGCATGTTTGAGTAATCTTTAAGGCTACCCTGGCCACAAAGATTTGACCTTTACCGAACAAGACCAACAGTACATATTGAGTTTTTCAGAGTTAGCCAAGAGGTTAGTTTTAATTTAACCACGATAGTCCCACTGAGAAACTCTTTATCACGGTCCTAGCCCCAGAGGGAAAATTATAAGGGCCTGTTTACATGAGAACGCTTGCGGGTAAAAACGACAAAATATTTTATCGGTTTATAAGTGCCTTTTGTTTAGACGGTGTTTTTGGGGCTTAAAAACGCAAAAATCTGAAACCACCCTCCAGAGTAGAAAAGTTGAATACGCTCCGCCGTAGCGTTTCCGTCTACACTGCCCAAGACACAAAACTCTGGTCAGATCTGCTCACGTCGCGTACACGTTTACGTCATATACATCACCACCTAATGTCACCACCACCGAGCCGCCTGGCATGCATACCCAATCAAATTCCACACACTTTTGCGTCACCGTATGCACGCAGATTTCCTCCCAAAAACTCTTGTCTCAACACGGAATAAAAAGTGAAGACGTGACGCCACTTTTGTGTCTTCTTTTCAAACCGTCATCATACAAATGTAGCCTGATTCTTATGATTTTTGTAAGTTATCAAACTCACAAGAATCCATCTTGGCTTCTGCTGTTGCAAGTAACAATAACCGAAACATCGTGATATTGTATCGTCAAAAGTCTCACAGTAATATCGTGGGCTGTCACAATATATCGAATTTCAAGTTTCTTTGCTTAAATGCATTTTTTATAGTAGCAACAGCTTATGAACATTGGAAACTACATATCCCATAATCCATTTCAGCGCAGACAACGCGAAGAAATATGTTTTTTACTTGAATTCTTGGGATTTTGATGGAAATAATTCACACAAAAATCTTGTCAAAGTATTTTAAAAGCAAAAAAGCGTCCCATCTACAATTACATCAGCGTCTTCAAAATATCGCAATAAATATTGTACCGTGAGATGTATATCGTGATAATATCGTACAGTGAGATTTGGATATCGTTACATTTCTAATAAATACTATACTAATATACTATAATACTAACATGCAGATGAAAGCGCTTTGGGATTTTTTCTCAACTGAATTTAATAAAAAATATGATTTACGCTGTTCTGACTCTTCAACCAATCAGATTAAAATATTCCGCCTTTCCCCGATCACTTTCAGCGACAGCCCTTCCAGGAAATGTGTAGAACTTAAAGTGCTTCACATGTCAATTTGGTGCCAGATTTGAGACACCATTACTCTAAAAATGTCCATTTTCACCTACCACATTTATTATTTACAGTGGTTTATTTGTAAAGGGGTTTACTGGGGTTATCATGTTTATTGTGTCAGTGGAATAAAATAGTTTCAGTATTATAGTTGTAATTTTTATGACAGTGTTAGCCTTAAGAAACTCCTTCTATCGTGACAGGCCTACGTATGTGCACTGTCTGAAGTCATCTGCAGCCGTGTCGTTTTATCTGTGTGCAGCTTGTGTGGTGCCTGCAGGGGGCGCTGTGGGCTGTAGGCTGTGGTTGATGTTTGTGTGTGTGTATCAGGCTGGTGTATCAGGACGACACGTGTAAACAGCTGACGCCGATGGAGGAGGTGGAGGAGGTGGAGGAGCGGAGACCTGGAGGAGGCTGGCAGTCCCCCAGACGAGTGTTCCTCTGCCCCACGTCTCTGGGTGAGGACACAATAACATCACAAAGACACTCTGTTTAGTCTTTGTCTTTTGTATTTAATTTAATTCCATAAAAGAAATTAAAACATTGAAACATAAGAAAAAGTCTTACACTGCAAACATGTATCTTAAGTTAATAACAGTGAGTATTTATGACGTATATTTGTGTTTTAAGGGCGGAGATCGTCGTTTCACTTGGAGTGTCTCAGGAGACAGTCAAAGCCTGATGTTTCCCAAAAGACAGCAGTCCCTTTGCACCTCGTACATCACCAGGTCTTTACTCACTACACAGGACTTCATATAACACACAGAGTTATTATTATTAGTCGTATTAGTATCATCAGAGTCTTTGTTTGACTGTGGTTCTGTCCTCAGGCTTTGGCGGTCGCAGGGTTGAGTCCTCTCCTCAGACGGAGTCACTCTCCCACTCTCTTCAGTCGGCTGTGCTCCACGCCTCCAGCCAGCCCCACCGGTACTGATCCTACGCACACACACACACACACACACACACACACACACACACACACACACACACACACACACACACACACACACACACACAATCATAATGTTTTGTCCTAAACAAAATGTATTTTTCCCGTAGCTCTCAGCGGTGAAGCCTCTTACCAGCGGGTACCCTCCTTGAGGCTAGAGGGCGCTAGCTCCCATGAAAAGCTCAACACCAGTTTGCCCTCAGTGAACTGCGGGCCCTGGTACAGTGCACTCTCCTCTGGTTTGTTATAGTGTTATATTCTGTCTGTTCACAAACTGTTCTGCTGCAGGTACAACGACAGCAATGGGAACAGCCGGGCGCCCACCCCTAGTACCTCCGGAGCCCGAGCCCCTCGGCCCGTGTCCCTCACAGTGCCCTCTTTGCTGGGCACAGACTCGTGCTCCCTGTCCCACGGCAGCGCGGGGAGCCTGGTGGAGGCAGTAAGGATCATTTTAAAGGTTTAAACATTAGAGATGTGTTACATAAATGACGTGACTCTCTCTGTGCAGGTGCTAATATCAGAAGGCCTGGGGCAGTTCGCGCAGGACCCGTCCTTCATCGAGGCGACCAAAGCGGAGCTCGCCGACGCCTGCGACATGACCATCGAAGAGATGGAGCACGCCGCCAACAACATCCTGAACGGAAACACAGCGGCACAGGCCAGCCCCTCCCCCCTCTGCGGCCTGAGGCCTCACAGTCCTCACAGCCCCCTCAGCCCCCACGCCCCCCTCACCCCAATCACCCCCCACGCCCCGGCCGCACACAGGGACCCTCTGAGGGAGGGCAGTGCGGAGGGGCCCTCCTCTGTGGAGGAGCGGCAGGAGCTGCTGGGTCCTGGGACAGGTGCAGAGGAGGAGGAGGAGGAGCACAGCTCTCTGCTGCGAGTGGAGGGCCAGAGGAACAGTGCGCTGATAGAGGACGATGAGTGTGTGACCAGTTTGTAGGAGTCAGTCCTCTGTGTGCAGACTCAGCGGCGCCTCCGGAGGCCGGTCCCGCTCACTGCCTCTGCCCCGGGACGCTCAGGCAGGACTGTGGCGGCAGTGAGCAGCCCAGTACTATGTTGGTCTGCGCTTGTGTGTACGTTTGTAGTAAAGTATAAGCTCTATACTCTCTTCTACTGCGTGTGTGATGTGTGTCTGTGTCTCTAAAGTGCCTCACAGTTTGTCCTCAGACGGTGAAGAGCAGACGAGCAGCAAAAAGGAAAGAAACAGGAGCTCCTTTTATGGACTTCCTGAGAATTCTCTGTTTGTTTTCATTTCCTTCTTTGTGGTTATTTATTAGTTGTTTATGTGGCGCCCTGAGGCGCAGGGACAGACCAGCTCTCGGAGGATGGACTAAACCTCCAGAACGGAGGTTTTGAAGCGCTGTATTGAGAACATGGGACCCTCCCTGTTCCTCTCATCTCTCCTCCTCTTCCAAAGGATCCTGGAGCACAGCCCTGCCAGCCTGGGAGCCGCCTTCACGTCGCACCGCTCCCAGACCACACGGGGGGAAGGATTTGAGGGACGGACCACGCCCAGGGGCCTCTGACAGAGACAGAACCACCTCGTCTGGCCCTGGTTTCTTCTGTACCCAGTTTAGCCGCGCGCTCTCTTCCCTCACAGGAAACAGAGGAGCTTCAGCGGCTGCAGACAGAGGGCCCTGCTCCTGATACCTCTCCTCTCTCCTCCCTCTCTCCTTCCTCCCTCCTCTCTGCACCATCCTCTTCACCAATGAGTTTGTTTTTACTTTGCGACAGAGAGGTGTGCGCTGTATGTTTTCAGGCAGAGGAGCCAAACGATCTAGTGAGCACTTTGTGTCAGATCCAGACATGATTTCTGCTCCTTCCTCTTCCTTAAAACATGACGATTTTCTCCGCCACGGCCCTCTCTGCTGTGTATTTAACACTTTATTATTGTGCAAAACTGGCTAGCCATGATATCTTGTTTTAACAACTTATCCTTGGGGTGCTGGTCTTATTACATGTATTTTTGCTCAGTTTCTTTTAGGAGATTTTAAGAGGTTTTAAGTATTGAAGCAGGTCATAGTGTAGATTACTCTATGTGTGTGTCTGCGTTTTTAGTACAAGACAAATGCGTGAATGATTGAGCGAATGTAATGTATTTTAAAGGGGGGCTTTCTCTCGATTCGTATGCACCTTTTACAGATTGTATCTATTTATTTATTTATTTTTCCCAGAGGAGAGAAACGCGTGCGAAATTTGCGTGAATGCGAGTGCGCGTGCGTGTGTATTTTGAATGGTTACTTATGTATTCTACAAATGATTTAAGCCTAGACAGTAATTTAAGGTAGCATTCGAGTTCGTTCATGTTTGTTTGACGGTGCGTGTGTGCGTTTGTGTATGAGATTATGGGCCTCCTTAACACAGGGTTACCGTGGAGAGACATGCTTCCAAAAATATTTCTTTTAGTATAGTTTTGAATTTTTTAGCTGCTGAGTCGAAGGCTGCTCTTTACGAGAATCCGTGTTGCTTTTCCTCTTTCGTTTAGATCGATTTAGCAACAAGCTGAGAAACCGATCGCAACGTTTTTTATTTAATTTCGTAGAATAACAAGTACAAGGACCAGAAATGTACTGCCAATATCAAGGCGAAGACTGATACATTTAGAAGTTCATTTTTTTATCCGATTCATAAAGTCTGATTTAAAATAGGGCTGGTGAACAGATGCTGCAAGATCCATTCTATAGTGTCTCAATTCATCACTACTTTTAATCTTCTTTTTTTTTTTTTTTTCTCTCATTTTTTGGTACAAACGAATTACTTTGAACTATGCTGGGCCAGAAAATGCGTAAATAGCTGGACTTTTTGAAAATAATTATCACGTTAAATTGCGTTATGGATTTAAATATGGGATAAGCTTTGGTACGTTATAGATTTTTATTTAAATTTATTTGATTGCCTGGTAGAGTGTACAGTAGCATAAGTAGGAAAAGACAGGTTTGAAAACAAAATATATTTATGATTAAATGTCCCTCCCCAGTTGCATATAGTAATTATCCATTGCTAGATACACATTATGTTTAAAGCTCCACTGTGTAACTTTTCAGGTGTAGGAGCCATCGTCTGTTTCATGAAAATGTTATTGCTTTGCCTGGAATATTCCACAATGTGTCTTTCTTTTATACAATTACAGAACTTTTATTGACAAAAATTACTTGGGTTTCGGTGGGGTCACATGTTTGTCTCCAGATTTCTAGGTTCAGGGTTCCCACTCTTTTTCACGGACAAAATTTTAAAAACTTTTCCATGGCCTAAAGTGAATTTTCCATGACTTTAACAGCACATGGGTAGAATTGATCAAACTTTTAGGGCTAAATATGAAACATTAACCCTTTCCACTCATCTTATGGTTTGGTTTTAGAGGTTTTTTTTAACATTCAGAATACTGTCAGTGCTTTTATTGTCGTCTTTTTTAAACAAAAGGCGCAAATGTTCAGAAATAATGATAATAGTAATTATTTTTCTGTTAAATTTGTGATGTTATCTGCCTCGGGACTACAGATGGAAATGAGTATTTTTTGGTATAATCTGGCATATTTACACTGCAGTGTGCAGATGTTGATTATACACTGCCCCATTAAATAATTAAATAATTTAATTAAAATTTAATTAAAATTAAAATTAAAAATGTAATTAAATAAATAATAGCTTAATGATAACTTCACAGAACGCTGTAGTTGCATGAAAGCGATACTAAAATTCCACAACTTTTCCAAAACTTTCATTGAAATTACAAAATTACATGACTTTTTCAGGCCTGGAAAATTACATTTTCAATTTCCATGACTTTTCCAGGATTTCCATGACCGTGGGAACCCTGTACGTTTTCTGTCATACTGTGGAACATTTCTGTTAAAGCAAAAACATTTCCAATTGAAGGTTTTGGACTCTTTATCTACAAACATAGTGTCTCTTAAAAGGTGCACTATGTAACTTTTCGGTTGGGGGTCTCTCACCTGCTTGTTTCTATGGATACGTCATCGCTCACTTCAAATGTTCCACAGTATGAAATTAAACAGCTTTCTACTTTACATTTATTAAATTACAGGTGGTTTTATAGCTCAGAAATATCCAGAAAAACACAGATCTTGACCAGGTAGAAAAGTTTAGCACCATAATGTGAAACTTTCCAGACAAAGCAATAACATCTCTATGAAGAAAAGCATTCGACGGACTCTCCACCTGAAAAGTTACACAATACACCTTTAAACACAAACCTATAAATGCTATTACCTTACTCCCATTCATATCACATATAATTGTAATTTAGTTTTGGGCCCGAGTGTTTTTTTTTTTAAAGGAGGCGTATGAATGAACACACTGCCATACTCTGCTTCCTGTGCCAGTAACAGACTTCTGACATTAATATGCAAATTAAATGTGAATGTTCCATAGTGTGCTTTAGTTACGACACCCATTTTCAGACACCGTGTGAACTTTGTAGACTTGACTTTTCATATCTGCCCATATCAAAAAAAAAAAACACACACATACAGTATTTTGATTTTGACCGCAAGCTCGCAGGATTAAACTAAAAACATGTTATTTTCTAAGGACTAAGGTTTGTTTATATTGAGTTGGAGGCAGGTTAAATTTGTATTGGTCACATTTTTGTAGTGTTTTAGGCAGGATGACCAGATTTTCCGAATTAAAAACTACGACACATCTGGGTTGGGATGTTAGTATAAATAAAATAGTGAAAAAAGCGCGTGACGTTGTCCATTTGCGACTCACTTGTGGGTCAATATAGAATCTGAAAGGCTTTTGTTGGTGCATTTTTTTGCCTTATGATCATTTTCAAGCATTTTCTGTGTTTTCGCTTTCGACAATATATTTTTACAGTTGGCGGGTCTCAAATTGGTCAAAAAACTGCTGGGACAGGGGACACAGAGCTCAAAACTTGGACTGTCCCAGGTTTAATATGGACTTAATCACTCCTAAGTCATTTATTCATTTTCCTATTGGATATTTCTTATAAAATACAATGCAATCAATCATTTAATATAAGTAGAACTGCCTCTTTAAGCAGCTATAATCATAAAGTGCTATGGTTAGAATAAAGACAACTGAACAATCAAAGTACAGTATAGTTTAGGGTGACCGGACGTCCCTATTTACCCGGGACAGACCCAGTTTTGAGTCCTGTGTCCCCTGTCCCAGCAGATTTATCCAAAACCACTGATTTGTCCCAGTTTTATACAAGAAATGAACCAGGTGTCCCTATTTTTGACCAATCTGATCCCTGCTGAACTGTAAAGAGAGTCATACAGTGTGATTTGTTTAGGTAAAATACAAAAAAGCTGCTAAAAAACTATCAAAACGCAAAGAAAATGTGACTATACTGACTCACATAAGTGCCAAGTGCAGAACAGTTTTCCCTAATTATGCACTTTTTTCACAATTTTATTACTATTTAAGGATGTCCAAGTTTTTTATTTTGAAAATCTGGTCACCCTAGTATAGATACAGTAATATAAGGGTAAAATTAAAGTAACATATTGAAATACATAGGCCCAAAATAGATTTAAAATATATGGAACAGCTACAGCCATTTGTAAAGATTGTTGAAAAGTTGTTTTGTGAATAAGGCAATGCAGTTGTAATTTATAAAAAAAAATTGCGTTCTCAATTATCCAATCTAATTATCAATCATTTAAAGAGGGGGTATTACGCAAAATCGATTTTCGGAGGTTTCTCTCATGTTATAATGTTGTTCCCTCATCAAAAATATGAGGTTTTAGGCGTCATCCGTGCATGTTTGAGTCATTTGGCGATCTCTCCTGGGTTCTTTTTAAACCCTCCTTAGATTCTGTGTAAGGCTCCGCCCGCAAACCTACGTCTCCCATGCGACAATTCGCTTTAAATATACAAAAACGTGATACAAAACTGTGCACTACAACTTCACAAACCTGATGCGATGCACGATGATTGTGTTGTAATGAC